TTGTAAAAAAAAAGGATTAAATTTCGAAATTTTGTTTATAAATGGATGTTATACAGTATATTATATTTAATTAAAACGGTATTTTAAATTTGACTATATTATTTTTTCTCTCTCTCTCTCTCTCTCTCTCTCTCTCTTCATATACATATATAATTATTATTTCTAAAAATAACAATTTTTACAATTAATGAATTTTTCTGTTCTTCTACTATATTTATCTGCTACATTAATATATACATACGATGGCACTTTAACATATTTTTATGTTATTTTCCTTCAATTTTTAAATTTCTTTATTTTCTAAATATTTATAATAATATTTATTAATATATAGTAAGTTCTATATTAATGCAGATTTTATTTTATGAAATTAATTTAGAAAGTTAGTATCATTTCTTTGTGTTAAGGATAATTATATAACGGACTAGAGCTACAAAATATCGAGATAGAAAATCTGTCTAATAAAAAAATCATTCATCAAACATTCTTCAAAATTGTATCTATTAACGCTAATATTTCGATCGACAATATATTCAATAATTATCGCTAGAATTTATATTAATTTTCATTGTACATATATCAATTTATATACAAATTATCCATATTTTTTTTTGAGGGATTATCGGTTTATACTATTGGTTTATACTATCATTTTCAGGAAACAATATTTTTAACCTTTTTATTCTTGAAGTACAAACATTAACAAAACTTTAGTAATATCGGTAAATTTTTGAAAAGAAATATAAGTTACAGTAAAATTGAGAGGAGTTAACCCATCGTGAGAAAAAATCAAATTAGACAAAATTGTTTTAATAATTGCAAAGGCTACTCTTTCGCTTGTACTACTTGCTAAAGCTGTTATGAATCCTCATTGATTCTCGTTAACCTATGATTGATTTTCTTTTTGTCATGAGTTTATGTTTGATAATGAAGATATCTTAAAAGATATAAATAAATTGATTTTACGATATGAATAAAACTACATCACATTAAACTTATATCATTTAGGAATGGTATATATCAAATCGGTATTATTAAGCAAACAAAAAATAAACGGCAATTTTTCGTTTAATTTTATAATTTATATAATTTAACATTAAAAGCATCAGAAACAACCGCATCAACGACTCAATTAATTCTTTTCCTATGTTATATTTTTATGAAGGATATTTCAATATCCGAGAAAAATGATGATCATATACTAAATTTCAAGTCTGACCAGAGTCATTCTGATAGTACTGTGAGACATGAGCGGGAAGTCGATGAAGTTACCCTTTCAAATATTTCTATCATCCCAGAACCTAACGGTAAGTTGCAAAAAAATGCATAAAACATTAATAACAAAATCTATGACAAAAAAGTGTAAATATAATTTAAATTCAAGAGAGAGTGGAAATCAAATCTATTGTAGAAATATCTTCCAGTAGTGAGAAGAATATAAAAACTAATTCCGTCCAAAAAGAAATAGAAAAGCTTAATATAAACATAACATTGTACATAAAAATTGTCATAATTTAAGATAAAGTCAATTTTATTAATTTGATACTCTGTTTTAAAGGAATTGCAAATATTATACTTCGATTTCTTGAAAAATATATAGGACTATAGGAATTTTTTGAAAAGTACTTTCATTTTATTAAAAGTTATTTATTCGTTTTTGTCATGAATTAACGATTACTTTTCTAAATCTTAAATGACGCAAAAAATTCTTATATTAATTTTTTAAAGGTCAATACTAATTTCTATATTTTGTAGTTTACTTTTTTTTTCTTTTCCTTTATTTTCACATTAAATTGTTCTTTCTGATTTACTGAGAGAATCCACTTAATCTTATATATAATTATGTTAACATGTACGATTTTAAAATCTCTAGAAAGCAATTTGAGCAAGCCAACATTTCTCAGAGCATTTGTACAATTCGACAGTCAATTCGCAGAAAAAGTAAACGACATTTTGTGACATTGAGGTAACAAATCTAAATTCTCAGTTTGTATTCCTTCATTTTCTCTCTTTTTTCTTAAATCCAACTACATAAATATATCAATATGTTAATTCTGTTACAATTTTCTTAAATATAAAATAGCTAAATTAAATTTTTTTACAGATGGAACCAACCTGAATTTACCGATGAAATAATACAAGAGTACCAAGTGCAGTGTTCTATCTTTGAAAACTTTAAAGAAATCTGCGATGATAAAAATATCACAACTACAAAATTGGAGCACACGGTGCACAATCTAATATCTAACACGACATATTATTTTCGAGTACGTCGCATACTAAAATTGTTGCTGGTCCTTACACGGATTTAATCAATCTGTCGACTACACATGAAAATCCAATACCTAAATTATTACTCACAACGAATCAAGGTATCCAAATATATGACGTGGATTTGAACATTACTCATTTCGTAACATCAAAGTATGTATATATTGATAAAAAAATAGTTATAATTATCATAAATTTTTTTAACACTAACTATAAAATTAAAGTTATTATTATTATGCACAAGTTTATTATTATCAACATTATAGCAATAATAACTGTAAAATTAGAAATCTCAATTATAAGTTTTTTTACTATACAATTATAGTTGGCTCCTTCTTTCAGAGCAGTAATAAATGTCGCTTATTCGATACAAGACAATAAGATTTATTGGATTGACCAAAAAGACTTGATGACATTGAAGATTAGTGAAAATAAAACCACAAAATAGCTAGCTTTGAGCATTATCTATATATCTCTGCATTGACTGGGTAGCAAGAAATCTATATTTCACCTATGAAAAGTCAGCTTCTTATATTGTAAAGTTGACTTAGCAATGTGGGAAAATAACATAATTAAATTTGATGAAATTTTGAAATCAAAAAATAATGACGGTTTAAATGTATTACCATCTATAGGGTACGTTTACTAACCGTTCATCTGAAAAAATAATTTCTATTAAAAATTTATGAATATTTCTAATTTTTCTATAATTTACGTGCTTTCATAATTAAGATCATAAGTAAAAAAAATAATAAATATAATATAATTATAAGAATTTCGAATTTTTAATACATACAAGTTTCTGTTTGTGTTAAAATATTATTTTATAATGAGTAAAATAATTATATATTTTTTAGAATTTGTATTCCGTAGTTTACAATTTGAGGAGTACAACATATAACATAAGGAAATATCATCTCGATGGAAAAATCAAACAAATTGTTCAATAATGCATCTTTGTATTTATTTCATTATAAAGATCATTTCCATGATATGATAATTGATAACATGAATAATGAGACACCGTTAATTTACTGGTTAAGTAGGAATTACACAATTGTAACAGACATTAACATTTCTATGTGCAATACGATTTTACACAAGAGAAATATAAGTAATGACATTTACTTCAGATCTATGACGATTGATATAACAAACATTTACATTTTAACATATGATATGTATTATTATGCTAAATATACTAAATATACTCATATATATGTTTTGAAAAAGAAATATGCAAATCTCAAGAGCGTAAATGCAGCCAAATATGTTGAAAAGATAATAATAAGTTCAGATGATAATACGTTTTATAAAATTTACTCTTTTGATAAATCTTTACAATCATATCCTCCAATGAAATGCCTGACACCTGACGAAAAAGTTTATAATTTTGAGAATGTGAATGCAACGGCAAACAGCATCGTTGTGAATCTTCCGGAGCCGGTTGTAAAAAGTGGATGCAAAAAATATAATTTACCAACTACTATGTATACTATCTCCGTAAGCTGTTTAGATAACAATCTCAACAAGTCTGAGAAATTCAAAGTGCAGACGTACAAGCGATATTACGAGATTCAGAACTTAACACCATTTACAGTGTACAAGTTGAAGTTTATTTTAAGCAATTTTTACTTTGATCAATTATCAATAAAACCATTCGATTCGAATGTGCTACGAATAAAAACTAATTCAGGCAAGCTTAATGCACCAGAAAACATAAGTGTTCTAGCTTTGACGCCTGCTATAACAGTAGTTCATTGGATGCCACTCAAAAAAGTGAACTGCGTGGCCTATGAAGTGCATTGGAAATCAGTTACATTAATGAACGACACGCAACAAAAGAGCAAACAATTTATCAATGTGCCGAAACGTATGGCAGATGGCAGATTTTTCACAAAAATTTATTTGTCGCTAGCAGTACAAGATTACTTGATATATGTGCGTGTGTGTCCAATTAATTTCAGCGATTTCTGCAACGAGAGTTTAAGCAAGATCGTTCACATATACTCAGAACCAAACAATATTACTTTGAGCGGGGTTAGCATAAATAGTATGAACATTTCATGGATCTCAAACATTAATCTGACGATCTTTTTTATATTAGAGTACAAAGATATTGCAGCAGAGAAGTGGCAAACAATGAATTATATTAAAATGAATTATAACCAAGAAGTAACATGCCATGTCGAAAATTTACAATCGGGAACTTTATACAAGTTTCGCTCGATATTGAGATACCTCGAATATGAGGTAAATTTTATATGGCCAGCTGATGAAAGATTTATTTTTTCGACACGTGGCAGCAAACGTGGTAAGCAAATAAAAATACCCATATAACACAATAAAGTTACGGATATGTTAAATAATAATTTCATTGAAACATTGTAATATTGCAAATCGATTGCGAAATTCTGCTGAGTTATTGTTATAAGATTGTGATGAAGTTAAGCTAACCGCTTTTCGCAATGAAATATTGTAGCAATGTTACAGTGTAATATATTGGAAAGAGTGCAATGTTATTGCAACCATATTTTTTATTTTGATGGTTGAATATCTTGGAAACATTTAATTAAATTAAAATGCTTGATATAAACATTTAATTAAATTAAAAAGCTTGAACAAAAAATTACTTGAACTTAGCTTGAACATTAAATTAAAAAGCTTGAACAATTAAAAAGATAAACATTTAATTAAATTAAAAAGCTTGATATAAATACAAGTTTGCAATATCTATGATAATCATATCTAAGATAATATATTGCAAAATTATATTTAAACATAATCATATAACATAAAATGTGATATTTTTATACAAAATTATTTTAAACTTACTTATACATTACTTATACATCACTAATTATATTTTCATTTATAAATTTAAAAAATCCGTTATAATTATATACATTTGAATGTGAAAGGTACATAAAAATGGATAGAAAAATATAATGATGGGGGGTGGGGATATAATAGTATCTACATACTTAATATAATAAAAAGATATATTATCTTTGAAGATTAATATCGTATTCATACATAAAGTGAAAATATATCATAAAATATATTGTAACATTAATATAAAATGTTATCTGTAATTTAATAAAAAAATGGCAATGCTTATCGTTAGCTTAAAATTATATTTACTCGACTGATATTATTTCTGTGTCATTATTTCATTTGACTTCTGCAAAAAAGTAAAATTATCGCATATATACAAACATAAAAAATATATTATTACAATATTTTTATAAATAAATTGAAGAGTGTTATAGTTTTAAAATGTTTCTAAAATATAAATATCATATTATCATATTATCAAATGTTTCATAAATTCATACTTTGTTAATTTATATTTCTATAATGTTTCCGTAATGTTGCATTACAATTTGTGGTATTGCAATATTGCTGCAAAGTAGTTGTAACATTCTGTGCTATATAAATGTTATAATACTATATTATGTGCTAATTTTTCTAAATATGAATAAGCCTATAATTTAAAAAAATTAAATTTTTGTAATAAAGTTATAAGTAAAAATAAATTTGTAAAAACATACACACACGAAGATATTAACATTACATTTTTGTTTAATATAGATATTCCGAGCACTCCTGGAATAATAGCGAAAAAATATTACTTATTATTGATGTTAAGTTTCATCGTTATAGTTACTATAATCTGCGTCTACAACTTTTATCGTTGTAAGTATATTTGATTTAGGTATCAACTTGAATTATAGATTATACATATATATCTGATATAATATCTAAAAATTTACTGAAAATAGTAATTTACTTATATAAAACTAAACGATTAAATTTACTAAGAAACAATAGATTTTATAATATATATTATTACATAATTAAGTCGAAATTTTATAACAGTGTATCGTCAACGCAGAGGTAATAATGAACAATGTTTGTCTTCAACGATGAACGATATAGAATTGGCGATTCTACATGAAGTACCTTGCCGAAACACTCAATTCAATATGATTTACAGTCCTATGTTACATTATAACCCGGATGAATGTGCGATAACTAAAGTCGCATGTAAACAGATTACATTTACAAAACTTCTTGGTAGCGGTGCATTCGGAAAGGTAAAAATTAATTTTTTCAAACAATATTTCAAATTAATTTCTGAATCAACAAAACAGATATGTATTTTCCAATAAAGATATAAATTACATTAATTTGTATAATAGATTATAAGTAATATGAAATTTAAATGAGACAACGAATGTCCACTTTATTATATATTTTTCGTTGAATTAATTAATATAAAGTAAAATATAATATTATTTGATATTAAACTATACATTTTCTAATAAAGTACGTATGTAAATTTGTATGAAATATTTTGCAGGTGTTTCAAGGAAATGTGGAGAACTTAGAAGGATCCGGCATAGAGATATCCGTTGCAATAAAAATGCTTCGAAAAGATGCTTCTTCAAATGAGAAAAAAAAATTTTTAAAGGAAGCCAAGCTTATGAATCATTTTCGACACAAACATATATTAAGATTGTTGGCCATTTGTTTAGATGGAGATTCTCCGTTACTAGTGTTGGAATTGATGGAAACTGGTGATCTGTTAAAATATTTGAGAGATTGTCGAAATTTGCAACCGTCAGATTCGTATGCTCTGCGTTTGCAGGATTTGCTCGCCATGTGCGAAGATGTTGCGCGAGGTTGTTGCTACTTGGAAGAGTTGCGTTTCGTACATAGAGATCTAGCGTGTCGCAATTGTTTAGTATCTTCGAGAAATCGCGAGAATCGTATCATCAAAATTGGAGATTTTGGATTAGCTAGAGATATCTACAAGGATGATTATTATCGCGCGGTAAATACAACTATTAAAGAAAATTAGTGATTAAAAAATAAATTCTTTTGGAAATACTTTTCATTTTCTTATCATAATAGTAAATAGTTCTTATCATAATAATATCATACATTGTTTCTTTAAGTAATATAGAATATAAATCGTTTGTATTTATATAAAGCAAGAGATAAACGAATGTTTTTTTCATTTTACACATATTCTAAAAATGAACAACTTGGACCAAAAAATTAAATTTTTGTTAAAATCTTATTTCAGAAAGGAGAAGGTTTGTTTCCTATTCGCTGGATGGCACCAGAATCTTTGACGATTGGAATATTTACTTCTCAAAGCGATGTTTGGTCATTTGGGGTATTAATATGGGAAATTACATCGTTGGGTGAGCAACCTTATATTGTCAAGACTGATGAAGAAGTGATAAATTATGTTCGTGCTGGAGGCAGGTTGCCGATGTCTCTTAACTGTCCGTCAACGTTGTACCAGTTGATGTTGCGTTGCTGGAGTACAGCGGATGCCAGACCAAATTTCAAACTTTGTCTTAGAAATATTATAGCAATAAGAAAGAACATAGAAGATACCTTACTGCGTCCAGTCGATATTATTTAGTCAATATAATTAAAGTAATGTTTATCTTCTTTTCCGAACGATTCAATAAATCTTAATGTAGGAAAAATATTTCTAGAATATTTCTAAATTGATTCTGCTATTTTCAGATTTAATCTTAATATTAGATTTATGAATGAACATGAAAGATATTTTTTAATCTTACTTTCCGAAAATTTTAATTATTAAAAAAATATCACACCATTTTTTATGATTGCAAACGGCTGATATATTGATGCTAATTTGTATTTTCGAATATTTGTCTTTGAGTAATCGAAGCGAAATCTAATGGTTGCGAGTATATTTGTTTACGGAATTTAATTACTTTTTTAGTTTATAAGACGTGAAATAATTTCTTAATTTTATATAAACTAGAAAATATTCTTTTTCTGATCTTTCCTCAATATTTTTATACGCAAAATAATGAAAGGAATCAATTGGTAGAATAAAAACAAAGTTGTTTTTAAGAAAAATGTATGTAATTTGCAGCTACAGCTGTTTTATTTGAGATATATACAATTTGGGTACTCCAAAATTTCATATCTTACTTCTATCTTAAAGACCTTTTATGCTCCTTTGCATAACACTTTTTTTTAAATTATTCCAATTTTTTATATTGCAGAATATATTAAATAGCGAAAAAATTAAATAGTAATATATTTGCAAAAAAATGTAATAATTAAAAATGAATGTGAAATATAATATTATATATAAAATATAATACAATATATTATAAAATAAGTTATAAAGAAATTTTAATAAATATATATATTGTATTATAATTATATGAATTTATAAATTTAAATTTTATTAAATTTTATTAAATTTTATTAGAAAGTTATATTAAAAGATAAAGAAATATAAGATAAGATTATAATATATAAGATTAATGATACAAGATTATATATATGGTATATATAAGTTGAAGAAATAATATGATAAATTTTATATCTATATTTAACATCTATACATCATATAAATTTTGTATGAAAACTTTTTTTAAAGTTTATATTTTTATATTTAATGTTTTATATTTAATTTGAATAAGATTATAAAAAAACATGATTAAATTTTCTTAGCTGTATATATATTTTTTAATATTATATTTGCTGAAATCATATTATATACTAGAGAAGACAAAATCTGCTTCTTATTAAAATATTTATAGAACATTTAATTATATTTTGTTTATAATTTTATTATTTTGTGTGAGATTTATAACTTTATATTTATTCCAATTTAATTTTGTTTAAATGGCTTGATAACTGTTTCAAAAAGTAAAAAATTAAAGAATTAAAAGTTAGAAGGAAAAAGTGAAAAGTTAGAAATCTTCCTTATACCTAAGATCGATGCGATAAAGATAATAATTTTAAATTTTTAACTTTCTTTTTAGATTTTTTGTTTGTATATAATTATAAAAAATATTTCTGTTTATAGAGATGTTTTGAAAGATAATATTTATAATAAAAATATTGTATTATATTAAAATATTGTATTTTAAGATACCAACATCGCTCTGGAGTACCATATTGTTACGCATACTTTGTTGTGCATAACATAATGAATTATTTTCGGTAAGAATTATGTAGTGCGGTTGATTGCGGACATTATCTGAAGGTTCTTATATAAACATTAGTTGATATTGTAAGTCCGTACCTTACACACAGGTGGCGTTAATGTGAACTGCCGCCACCAGCCCATTATACAAAGAAATATATCAGATAGTTTTCGGAAACATTACTTTGTAACATGAAATGTTTCGGAGATGCATGCAGAAACGTTTTAGAAACATTGTATAAACAGTTAATGTCCGCATTCAGACACCTTGATATAAAAAGTTTACGACATTATCCTAAAAAATGTTACAAAAACATTTTTTAAGATAGTGTCGTAAACATACTTGAGAAATGATATTTAAATGTTACTATGTTATATTTCTGTAATAATTTATATATAGCGGTATCATGGAACATTAAGGCATTTTATTTAGTAATCGTTTATTTTATTTATTATAAATACAAAATTTCTTACAATATAACTGATTTTAATTAATAAAATATATCAACATATAATATATGTATATTATTATAATGCAAATATATTAAAAATGAAGAATTAAACGAACAATATATTTAAACATTTTTAAAACTTTGTCAACAAAGAAATAAAAAATTATATTTGAAAAAAGAAACTAATTTTTTGACTTTGAACTTAATTTTCATTAATCTCTATCTTTTATATTTCTACACATATATATTATTTTAATGTTTTATAAATAAAATTGTGAGATATAAACAAAATATAAATAGAAAATGCAGATCGCAATCAACAGTTGATAACAAATGATAAATGTACAATACTTATAAGAAAATTATTTGACGATAATTAGATTTATAATTTCTTAAACGGTATCTTAAAAAGTACGGTCGCGTACTGTATCAGACAAGTCTCCCCAGAGGAGAGTGAAATTGGGCGCCAGGCGCGGTTCCGCGCCACGATAACGATAAGGTCCGATAACTCAGAGCTCAGTATGTGGCAGAGGAGCAGGATTCTTTGTGAAATTAGAAAGAGAATGCTAGATGATTTTCAGGAGAGAGAAATAATCGACACTCAATTTATCTTACTTACAATTACTTAAAATATATTGAACAGTTATAATACAGAATAAACGATGTAACAGAGATAATAATAAGATAGACAAGATTCAATAATTAAAAAAATAAACAAAGAAAGAAAACATAAGTTTCGGAATATAAACAACTGATAATATGAGTTTGAAAGACAAAGGAATTAAGACTTATAATGGATGACGCGAAGGTCACATATAATCATAACGGAAACGATCTATTTATAATGCACGATTATAATATAACGATGAAAGCGATATGAAAACGAACATAATGTCTCACGAATCGCGATAAGAAAACTCAAATAATAATTAACAGCGAAGAAATCTGTAATACTCGAAATACAGTAATAAGTCGGATTTCAGAACACGCTTAGAGGCACGAGCCTTGCCAAAAGATTTCGATATAAATTGAATTATATTTCCTACAATAATCAGCGGTAATTAGCGGTAATCAATTACAAGATAAGAATCACAATCAGAATATAGCAGACGCGTACGATTTCGGAACACATTCGGAGGCACGAGCCTCATGTAAAATTTCGATATAAATCGAACTAAACTTTATATAATATTTGATGGTAACTAATAATACTAACATTTAAAAGTGAATGATAACGAGCAAAATATAATAATTGAGTATGATTTCGATATAAATCGAATTAACTTTCTTATAATAGTCGGAGATAATTTTCGACAATACATTCAATATATAACAAAGGTTATTATTAACGGTAATTTCAAGTACACCGGCACGAGTATTGTCTCGCACTCTTTAGCGGCCTTATCTCGATCTTTCGCACTCGGTGAAAACAAACATGATTCTCAAACGAGATAATTTCAAAACGAACGTTAACGGTCATAAATTTAGACGGAGATTTTGCGATATATACTGTTCTTGCCGAGCAAATTTTGCATATTCGGTACCTTTTGCTCGCAAAGAAAGTTCTCGCGCAAATCCCGATTTTCTTTACGTTAAATGGAACGGCCGGAATTTCGTCATCACACTGAGACTCACCATTCGGCACGAAACGTAACGGTAAAACGAAAGACGGTACGGAAACGGTACGGAACGATACTATACGGTACGGTACGAGATACACGGTACGGTAAGCGACTGTCGGCACGAATCCCCTGAGAGGAACAAATCCGCGACACCCGATGTCAGCTGGCATCCGATAACTAAACGCGAGAAAATCACTCAGCTTTCTGTAATACAACAGTACGATATAATTGTCGCCCTGCAACGGTATACAAAATTTTGTGTGACGCCAGCTGCTCCCGGGAGAAAATCGTGTGGCTACCTGTGCGGCGGCTTACAATTCTTTGATGGCGGCTTCCTCGTTGGGTCGTCTCCTCTCAGTTCGCACAGACGCAGAGACTAACTGCACTCTATTAAGGCTCACCGAATAGTGACGATAACGGAATGGGTCCGCGACGCTCTCGAGTCCCGCGCCGATTTTCCGCGCATCTCGTCGATTTTCGCCGAAAAGGGGGTCGTTTCTCCGCCCCCTTCAAAATTGGAGCTGCTTGACGGGATTGCCCTTACACAGGGATCCAGAATCGAAGATGACGGTATCTCAGCGGTATTGACTTCTCAACTCGGACTCGGCAGGCTGGCCAGGCATCCTTGTCCGTTTCTGGAAATATTTCCTTTTCCTAGTCTGCAGCCTGAGGATGGTTGTCCGTCAGGATTCTCTGCCGTCATCATTCTGAAAATTTTCGGGATTACTATTGCTCCGATATACGACTAGTGGCGGCGCGGGATCTCGATACATGACCTGTTTTTGCGGGAGCCTCGGTCCATTCTTCGTCTCTTCTTTGCGGTATCTTCGGGATCATACATATTGCGGTATCGCACGCTCGTACAGGTCGTCGCACTTTACGCTCGAACCTTAAATCTAGGCTGAAATTAATCTTAACGGATAATTACAGTTCCCCCTCAGGCGCGAGGGACGATCCCGTACTCGCTTTCTTCCCTCGACGAGGATCACTGTGACGGAGCTCAAAAGCGTCACGTCACAATATATAATATGAGATTATAAATTTCACTTTCATACTATTTATTCAAAAAAGAATTAAATAATATAAATTTGAAAAATAAGATATATAACAAATATGCATCAGATATATTTTTAGAAGATGACTAAGAAATGATTATTAAAGGAACGTTGTTTTTTAGACATTTTCAAGATATTTGTAGAACTTTTTGGATAAAGTAATATATATGTATGTATATATATATATATATATATATATATATATATATATATATACAGGGTGGGGCATTTATCTTGAGACAAGATAATATCTCGATTGGAATCGATTATTTTGAAAAAAGTTTTAGACAAAAGTTGTATGGTTTCAAGGGGGACATAAGATGGTGTTATTAGTTTGATCTTGAAGAGCCACCTGAAGGACACGCGAAGATCAGCTCC